CTGGCCTTTGCCGCTGCGATCGTTTTGCCCCTCCATTCAGCAAGATCTCGAACCACTTCGCCATCTTCGAAGCGACGGCGAGTAAGAGACGTGATGAGGATCTAGGCATAGTATTAGTCGCCGTATTTGGTACACTGCAAATGAAATGCGAACCCACCGGAGTCGCCCCGGCGTCCTTGAGCTCGGTAGCGATATTAACCAGATTGGCCCTGAACTCATCCAAAGTAAGACTCTTCTGGTCATTGTGGCCAAACTGGACAGTGACAACTGGCTCATAGTCTGCCCTGGTGTCGTTGATACCCTGCAAGAGTGAAGCCCAGCGGCCGTTTGACTTCCAGGAGACGGTGGTAGAACCACTCTTGCCTCTGTTCTCGCCCTCGGCGGAGTCTTTGAGGTAAGACAGAAAGCCGTCACCCCAACCTCCATTGACCGCCACGGTGGAATCGCCGATGAGAAAGAAATACGGCGGCTTCTTGGCTCGAGTCACCGCCGACCCCATGGCCATCGTCGCCGCCAATGCGAGAATTGATGTAAAGACGGTGGATCTCATTACGCGAAGTTTGTAAGCTGGAAAGCTAGCGATGGCGAAGTAATGGTGGTTTTGTTGACGATGCCTGAATGTACTTGTTTCATCGAGCTCGATGACCTCTCGAGATTCTGAGAGTTCTTCGATCTGACTTGCAACATTTTATAGCTTTGATAGTCCCCTAATACGTCTCTCATGAGCATCACGACCTCTCATCTTTGAGGTCTCCCATGATGGCCACGGACAATATGATGGCTGAGTCCACCAGTTGAGTCCCAACCTTTCGGCCGAGAAGACATGTCGAGCTGAACTGACGCCATCTCATGCACATTATTGAGCGTAAACGCGGGGCCCCACGGTGAACTTGCCGGCATAAACCGTCTTTCTCGGAGCAAAGGAAACTTTTGCGTCCACGATCAACGATGCGCCTATCCAGGCGAAACATTTGTGCCAACCCTTTACTGCAGCATTTGTGACAAATTGGAGTTGCCTTCGCTTTGGAGGAGACACCCGCACAATCATTGCCCCGAAGTGGCATACACATACTGAACTACATCCCTGTGGATGCTGTCTTCGGGCTAATGCGGGTCGCTCCGTTCAACCGTACCAGGTTCCTAGCCAGCAAGTGTGGGTGTTTTCAGGTGAGCCGTAGTGATCGTCGTCTGCGCGTCCAGATCTGCCGGACTGGCGGGGCAAGTTTGTCGGATTCCAGGACCAGTATGGGAAAACAAATTTCACATTCCGGACGAGATGTCCGATCCGTGCAGTTTATCCATGACGAGATTCCTGGCCTGGAAGATTGTTTCCCAACAAAGGACGTCTCCATGACCTGATATCCCACATTAGGATGATGAGATTGAAATTGTTTCGTTAGATACACGAGTGTTGATAATCTGAAGTGTGGATGTAGTAAAGGTATGGAGCTTTGCTGTTTCGCCCTGCCTGGAAGCAAAAAGGTGAACTACGGAGTATTTGAGATATTCATCCGTTTCTGCCAATTCAGATTCACTCAAGCCAGGAAAACATTCACTACAATGATCTTCCCACCTGGAGAAGACATAGGAGTATGTAGGTTGAGGTAACATGCGTTCTCAGGACACTATTCCACATGGGGATATGAACGATGGCGTAGGCCCAAGGCAGATGCGAAGCGATGAAGACGTATTTTAACTGAAACCACATCTAATTAAAAACATCTGCCGTAAAGAGGTTTCACGGATAAGGATGGAAGAAAGACCAGGTCCGATCATCAAAGCATGGCGTCCTCGTGGCAGTAGGCTAGGATCAAGTCCAAAGTTACCACCGTGCTCCAACTGTCAGCGTGTAAGCGCGCAGGAATGAAGATTTCAGGATCGGCGTAACGCCTGTTTACTGCATTCTGATGGGTTTCACCAATACGCTAAACTTCTGAAAGCGTGACTGTCATCCATCGGATTCCCACCTGGGCTCTTAGCGTGGAGATGACTATACCTTAATCAGACCCAAACCCCTGCTTTAAGAAGCGTGCCCACATCTCAACATGCGGACTGCTCCGTCAAACAGACACAAGGGGCATCAAAGGGATATCGAGCGAAGAAGTCTTAAGAATTTTCAGGGAACTATTTGAAGTCTCGAGGTAATAACCGATAGTCCAGCTTGATTAATGTCTTCAACTTTTGCTTTCGCTCTTGATCATATACTTTTCAGTGTCGTCGCTCTTTACGCCAGCCTGCCTGCATCTTGTTCGCTCATTTGAGAACCGACCTAAGCCGATCTTTCTATTCTCTTCTCCAATCTTCCCCTACCTTAGCAACATGAAGGTCGCAAACATCTTGGCAGTTGCCGGTGCAGCTGGTGCCTACACCGTCACCATCGTTGACAAATTCATGTACAAGAATATTGATCCTGTGGTTATACCAGGCCAGTACGCCAGCCACATGCACACATTTTTCGGTTCTGATGCTGTGACGTTGAACACAACCACCTCCAAAGAGTTGCAAACGGGCTGTGCCACAGCGGTCAACCCAAACGACTACTCGTCTTACTGTAAGTCAAGCTCTGTCAAAGAGATAACCTCTATCAAGTTAGGGAAGACTGTTTGTTAATCCGAAATTAGGGGTTCCTACCCTTTTTTACAAAAACAGAACCGCCACTGCCCCAGTTCCCATCAGTCGATTCAGTGCCTACTACGTTGCAATCGAAAAGGCAGAAGTCGCCATTCCACAAGACTACAAGGCTGTCGTCGGCAACGCCTCCGCAGAGTCCGAAGCTGATACCGAGCCTCTAGCGGGCATCCAATGGTTTTGCGAGGGTGGCCCCAGCATAGGGAAGGACGTCAATGGCTTTCCATCCAAGACCTGCAACACCCATCTGCAGACGATCCTCCTGTTCCACGACTGTGTCAACCAAGAGACACTCGAATCCACATACTCAGGAACCCAACACTGGACCGCAAGCAGCAAGCCTGCCAACCGCTGCCCTCTTGGTATGAAGAGGATGCCCCAACTGCGCTTCAGCATCCGCTATGATCTTCGTAAGGCTTTGCCTGACGGCTGGGAGGGGACCGCCCCTCTGGAACTGGCTTGCGGCCCCGCCTATTGCACACACGGCGACTTCATCAATGGATGGCTTCCTGAAGCTGCCGAGAACATGTTGCTTGCAAATTCAAAGCGGGATTTCGCCGGTGTAGATGGTCCTGCAGGCAAATACAGTGCTGGATCTGTCTGCGGTGCTCAGAACGCCACGGACGCTGATCCGGAGAACGGCACTTCCGACTATCTGACCAGCAAACAGATTCTCCAGAAGCTCAAAGACCAGAGGGCTTGATCGAGTGGATTTTGTTGTATTTGTTCGGCTTGGTCAAGCTTTATTGTGTGCACTTGGATGCCAACTTTTCCTAAACAAAACTGATATCGTCTGAGACGACGAGAGGAAAAGTGGTCTTTGCCTCTAGATCTGCGAAGACCCCTCACGTCTATCGGGAGTCGCCCTATAGACTATTGGATTGATTTCTGTGCCTCTTAAACTAATAGAAGCCTTAGTTGTGTATTTTCTTCACTGCTCTTGTATTACTACTACAACATTACTTACCTTACTTAGATCGATAATGATTGGGCCCATCCGCATTCCATGCCTGAACACAACTCTTGCGAAGATTGTGCATGATGTATCACCTATGCAATCCTATGATTGAACTCAAAACGCAGATCCTTATGCGAACTGTAGCGGTGAAGTGTCTTGAGGTCGGAAGGCTGGATTTACCTTGGTTGCGTTGAGTGAAGGGGTGGTCTCATATTCACCGTGTTTGTTGTTTACAGCCATTCAGTACGTAGTTTGTATGTCAGTTATCTGGTACAGTATGGCTCACCAACCTTTACAGCGTTAGACACCCAATAGACCACGACCTATGTCCTAGGCCTATGTCCTAGGGTGCTGTACCTACCTACGTGGCGGCTTTACCACAATCAGCCAAGACATGCGTAAACGAACCTCGTCATCGGAAGGAAAAGGCACGATTTCATTCTGAGAGTCTTTAACTCAACCGTTTATGTATGTTTGCCCTACACGGTTTAGTGAGGGCAGTACTTGATTTCTGGGAGAATCATAAATTACATGGAATAGTGTGTCTACCTCAATCGGCCAAGTGGCTTCACTTGAAACCCTACGGGTGTCACTCGTTTGGAAACTCTCACCTTAACCCCGACAAAATGAGCCTATTCGGGGAAGTTCTCATATGGTCATTAGGTCAAGCGTCTAAATTGAGTAATAATTACCCGGGAAGAGAGACAGCGGTCAACGGTGGAGAGCGGCGGAGAACGGTCGCTAGGGTCGATCCCTCCAAGCAAGGGCTGCTGAGCTGCTAAACCCTGCTGCGCATTGGCTGTCTTTTCCTTTCTTGTCTTTCATTTTTCTGTTACTAAATGAGCAAGCCCACACTTGATCAGAGTTGCCTTTACTTATTCTCATGTCTATGAGATATCTTCGCCTTGTGAAATATTTGAAGGATTGATTCTCAAAAAGGTGAGCATAAGTTGAGCAGGGAGCCATGTGGTCGGGCCCTGATTAAATGCGCTGTTGGTCTACGGTATCGGGGTACCCTCCTTGTTCTAGCTAGGTACGTCGTTACGACAGCACTGATGAGCGAGGTATTAGCCATCTTCGGTCTTAGTGCTAGATTGGCGACGTACTAAAAGTGCTCAACTGGCAATCCAAAGCAGAGATTGATATTTCCCAGTAACCAGATGGGGCCAAAAGGACGCAACACGTGCATGTGGATCCAAGTGTAACAAAAGCTGGCAAAGAAGTAGAAAATGGATTTTGAGTCAAGCATCTTCTTTCATTAACAGTGCCTCAACTTTATCTATTCACCACCACTGCGATAGAGGAGACTGGCCCCTTTCAACAACTCCTTTACAAAAGCCCAGCCAACTCGAGTCAAAGAAGTGGTGCATTCAAAACTTGCCTTTACGTGCAATTGACGGAACCTGCACGGAAGATGTCGCAAACGGCTGTAAAAACATCGTCCATACAATTAAGAAACATTCACGGCCCTATAGCATCTTCACCATCTACAGACTTTCACGACGACGAAGGGAGATCAAGGTCAAGAGATAGATCCTGCTATGTTGAACGTGATGCCGCGAGTCTCAACGAATTGACCTTCCCTGAGGGCGGCTGGCAGGCGTGGCTGGTGGTCTTTGGATCATTTTGTGCAATGCTTTCGGTTTTCGGCCTCATCAACTCGGCTGCCGTCTTTGAGTCATATTTCTCTGAAAACCAACTCGTTGATCATTCTTCATCCGAGATTGGATGGATATTCAGCCTGTACCTTTTTATTGTCTTCTTTGTTGGCATTCAAGTTGGCCCCCTATTTGACCAGTATGGTCCCCGCGGCCTCGTTGTCGCTGGTGGTCTTTGCATGTCTGCAAGCCTTCTCTTATTGAGCTTATGCAAAGGTTTGTCCCTTCTCACGGCTAAACTCATCAATTTTCCTAACGGGTATCACGCAGAGTACTATCAAATCCTTCTGGCGTACTCGATTCTAGGTGGCTTGGGTGGTGCGCTGCTAAACTCGCCCTCTTATGGCGCTATTGCTCACTTCTTTGACTCGCGCCGAGGCTTTGCCACGGGCATAGCAGCCACAGCTGGTTCGATAGGTGGAATAGTGTATCCCATCTTGCTTCAGAACCTGTTTCCGACTCTGGGATTTGGTCCGACAGCACGGATTCTTGGCTTCATTCTCCTGGGACTCACTGTACCCGCGACTCTCTTTATTCGTTCTCGGCTGCCAAGGAAGGAAGGACCCGGATCCATCTGGCCTGACTTCACCGTCTTCCAAAATCTCAAGTTTACCCTATCGGCAGTCGGGATCTTCTTCATGGAATGGGGTCTCTTTGTTCCCATAACCTACATTATCTCTTATGCCGCGACTCTGCCCGGCAGCAACGTTCATTCGTATACGATTCTCTCCATCCTCAACGCAACATCAGCAGTGGGAAGGTTTTTGCCGGGCTTAGCTGCAGACAAGTACGGAAGATTCAACATCATTCTCATCACCATCGCCCTCTGCTTCATCACAGTTCTCGGTCTTTGGCTGCCCTCGGGCAACTCTCAACCAATGCTCTTAGCTTTTGTGGCTATATTCGGTTTCGCAAGCGGAAGTAATCTGGGCCTGGTCCCGGTATGTCTAGGCCAATTATGTGACGCGAGGGAATATGGGCGGTATTTGTCCACGGCAATGATGATGGCCAGCTTCGGCACTCTGAGCAGTTTGCCAATTGCTGGTGCCATTCTCGAGGCAAAGGAAGGAGGCCAAAATTGGAAGGGACTGATCTTGTTTTCCGGTGTCTCTTACTTTCTTGCTTTCATTTGCTACGCCGCGGTCAGGGTGTTTGCCGTGGGGTGGAAAATCTCAGCAAGGTTTTAGGAGAGCAGTCAACATTAATGGCAATGTCCTGAAGTTCAAACAAGAGCTGTATTTTTGGGACTGCATGACTTTGCTACTTCCTACATCATGAACATTTCTCCAATAAGCTCAATTATATCCTTTTCAGCTTTAGTATGTGCAGCTATTCCTTTCAGTCTTTACTCCTATTGTCCCCGGTTTGGTAGGATCTGATCACCGCCAGCGATCTGTCTCCATGTTTTCTCTACGCAAGATAGGTCAATGATCCATGTTGTGCTTGAGGTACATGATCATGGCAAATTCGGGCCGAAGCGCCGCGGAAAAGCCGATGTCAGGGCTGTCAGGGCTGTCAAGTCTGCTTATCGAGTAAAAGACCCCCAGAAGCTGGACCTCATCGTGGCTCTTGTCTCAATTCAACATGTAGTTACTACATTACTATCGCTGGTGAGTTCTCACTGAGTCATGATATAGCAGAAAAGGTTCAATGGCTCTACGATGTAACGCGCGGGGAAGGTCCATTTAGCCGACTCTAAGCTTGACTAAGTGCAGCATTTGTGAGCGGTGACAGGATTACGAGGAAGGCAAATTTCGCCTTATTTTCTTGGGCGAGCTGGTAGTGTTACTGCCCTGGTACTTTCTTGATGCGCCAATTATAATGTCAGCCGCAAATCTCGGCGAAATGACTCAACATTAGGCAGTATCTGTTCAGCGTCCGACTCAATGTTTCTCATAGACCCCGTGCTGAAGACTTAGAGAATGATCTGTGAGGACATCTGTGAGGACATGGAAGCAGGGCTTTCCCGCTGTGGAGGCACCGTGGCATCTGGCTTGCGGGTGTTGTCGCCTAATCGAGCTAGTCCACTTAGTGAGTGAACGGTCTCTCCCCAAAAGAAGACGAAGGTGAATGACGATAAGCTACTGAGTGACTCGATTCGGACACTCCTGGTCCGTGGTCCTTGGCATGGCCCTATCCACATCATATATGCAGCTGAACGCTCAACGTCCTAGAGAATGTGGAGGAATCTGCTGCCAACTGTGGTCAATGTTAGATGTCGGCGCATCTGTATGGCTCTTCAAGCTACTGTCAACGGATTCCTGAGTCAGGCAAAGCGTGGCCATCGCTTTTCATCGTGTAAGGGATCCTTTGATTGGGTCAAATTCATAGCTGGTATGAGCTCTGAATGCATCGACGATGGGCTGCTCTGTGCCTTTCTGTTCATCTATCTACGGCTAGTCTAGTGGTCTGTGGTTCTGCAGTGCAAATGCCATTGGAAAGAATAATCCTGCCGCTCACGGCCTGCTGTGGCGGCCTTATCCATATCTGCAGGATGGGAGGCAGGAGCATCATTTCGACTTTCATCTGCCCAGTCATAGCTGATCAGGAATTCTCCAACGTCATGAGCGATTTATTTAGACTTATTTCCTCACCTGTTCATGAGACGTGGTCGGATCTCGGCTCAGGCACAGCCTCACCTAGCGTGCAATGAACACCGGCCGGAAACTCACACTTCTGACGGGGCAAGGCCCGACCTCCCGACAATGATCGCCATCATGAGTCTTCTTCGAGAACAACGGGGTCTATGTTTGCAGACAAATGTGGCTATCAAAGAAAGCATCGCTATTTCTACATGGCCCGAAGTCAGAATATAGCCGTAACTGCCAGCGTCCCCGGATAGCCGCGGTGGGTAATAAGCCGTGGGGAGGCATTGGGAGGCGTGGGGCGGCAGAGGTTGCGACTGGTTGGACTTTCCCATCAACTCAATTTACAGTAAAAGTCATCTTGAGAAAAGAGTAAAGCTTCAGACGACAGAACGATGGGGGTTTTGTGTGAAACTGGAGATTTCTGCCCTCCTTCCTCACACCCGACCCCAGCATGAGAATAACGCCACGGCTGCTCCCGGTTGTGTGTTAACCCGGCGAGTTTTGTCCTCTCGGGATATCCGGCCAGGTTCGGCCTCTCCCTGCAAAGAACGCGTGAGGGTTCTTACATGACGGATTGGCTCAACATAGTCAATGTCGGAGATATGAAACGACCCGACATGACAAGGCTCTCCAATCCCTTTCCGTGCATAATGATATATCAAGGCTAGTGAAATATGCAAATCGAGAACAACGTATGCGGAAGCACATGGAGCGACCAGTTATTTCCTCATTGTAATGATTATGCTCATATGGGTGGACTCAGCCACGCCCCGTTGGCCATGTTTATGGCATATGAAGCGTTTTCGGATGTGCCCATTAGAAACGTTGACGCTATGTTGCTGTAGGCAACTCCAAAATGCTTGATACCACCCAGACTTCAGATGAGAAGCTCTGGCACACAGTAAGTACGCTAGGAGCAGCATAAGCTATTCTTCATGTAAGGTAGCCAATGCAAGATAAGGTGGCTATGGATGGGGACCGTGGACTTTTGCCTGCCGGTCACTTGCACCAAGAACTTTACTGAGGCGAACCAGTACCCCGCGGAACTGATAGTTCCCCGCACGACCTTGGCGAAGTCGCGAGGTACTGAGTTTTTGTTTGCGTCAGCTCGCCCAATTGGGGTTTACAATAAACTTTCTACGCCCAGTCATATGCGATTGGGGATTGCTGGTTGGAGAGGCTAGCACCCAGGCCGCCGGATAGGGCTGAGGACAATACGACCAAGTACGAAAGCGGGCAGAACAAGGCCAAGCCCGTTCTAGCTGGCATGGGCTTAGTCTGGAATCAGGCCACGATGGTAGTTCGTTGTGGCAAACGGTGCAATCGAAAGAGTTTAACATTACCGAAGATTTACCAACCTTCGCTAGTTTCGACTCCAGGAGACTACGAGCAAGGGTTTGGCCTGCTTTCAAACCACGAATTGGGTCATAAGTAGAGTTCGCGCACCTGCACCCGAGTCAACGCATACATATGTTCCTCGACACCTGAGTTGTGACCCTAGCGGGAGGTCTAATCTTGTCCAACATTCATTCGGATAACATCACGGCAAGTCAAAGTCAGGCCATTTGTGCACCGTTTGAGTTCCTAGGCCTGGTGAAGTAATCCGGCTGGCAGCGCTGATACCATTTCCCATGGCGATCATCGATGCAAGTTGCGATGGCGATGAAAACAATGAACATATCTCTCGTAAGTCACTCGTCTCAGACACTAGTTCGGACATCATTCAGGACCAGAAAGCTGTTCAACGCAGCGAGGGGAAACAGCGCCCAGACTCAAGAGTACATATGAAGTGATTGTTTTATATCAGAGCGAGAAAGAGAAAGAGGCGACGAAAAGTAACAGGCCGCCGCAAAACAAAACACGAGTGGGTGATCACCTTGTGAATTCAGCAAGCAACTCTACTATAAGATGAACAGATATCAACCTCGTGAAGCGATGCTCTTGATTGTATGATCTTAAGGTGTGAAAGGGAAATCCGAAGTTGATCCACAAGTCTCTATCAGACCTGCGGGTAATGCTCACCATCTGGAATAGTCAAGGAAGCCTTCTTCGGATAAAAGAATCTTCTGAAACAGATCATCACAACTCTTTCTCCAATAGAACTCCGTGGCTGTCGCACTGAGCTTTTAGATAGGAACACGAAGTGAACGATGCGGCGGGTGGGGCCGACTCCAAAGAGGGGGACCGGAGGCCTTGACCTCCAGACATGTGTCTCTCTCGATATGCACCCAAGCTACTACTATCCAGGGAATAGGAACGGGCCTAGAAACAATGGGGACCTGAGCTGAAGGGTAGGGAGGGGAGGGGGGTCAAGCCATCAAAGTTCGGCTAGAAGTCCAGCAGAATCCATTCCACGAGGCGTCTGAATGATTGCAGGACTCAAGCATTGCCTGTTCAAGGTTTAGTAGCGTCCTCCAGAGACATAATATTTGTTACATGTAGGCCAAGAACCATGGCCGGCTAGATCTTTCAGGACTCATTGGACAGGGATCGGGCTACCAGCCTACCTTACCTCAGATGGTCCTCGCAGAATGATCTCCTGCATCTCGACTCGGAAATCACGGCCCGGGGTCTATCAGTGCTTTGAACTACGCACAGCTGTGATGAACATGAAGCGGGGATGGTTTACATATTCCAAGACCCCCACAACACACCATGACCCCGACGATATAAGCTCTCTTGTGTCTGTTTCCTCTGCCATCCCATCCATCATATTCCATTCCAAGCTATTTCATGCGATGTCTTCGCCGACTTCAGTAAACACCACGGACGTTGGCGGGAGAGTATACAAACGTCGACCTGGCGCTTGCGAAACCTGCAAAGTACGAAAGCGAAAATGTGGGTTGGGATGCTCAAATGAATCTTCACAATAACAACCTGACTTTTTCTAGGCGATGGTGGCAGGCCGAGCTGCGATAAGTGCCTTGTAAGTGTACTGATGCCTCGACAATACCACTGGAGTCTCACGATCTGCAGTCATCCGCCTCCTTCTGCTTCTACGTCACACCGAAGAAGAGAGGAAGATCCAGCCAAAACAGTAGGAAGATCCAAACAGACTGCGTTGATTACCATACAGCAACTAAGCATGACCACCCAGGCTTGAACGCAACAGCCAGACAGAGTGCTTCATTCGAAGACTTTAGCTATGCGTCACAGCAGTCTACATCACCCCCATCACCAACAGACCATCTACGCTACTTTGGGCCATCACCAACTCAGTCATCACTCTCTGGAGTGAACAGACTCTTGGATCTTGGGCAGTTCCCGACCCCTGTGACAACTGAATCCCTCGAAGAACACTGGGGACCGTTGTCAAGTGGTCTGTTGAATTCGCCTGAAGCTCTAGGAACACAAAGCACGGAGATCATCGCCAGTCCAGTCTCTTCGGCATTGGAGTATTGTTGGAGCACACAGCTTTTGTCCAATGGTCATAGCGTTTCTGGTCTACAGGATTTTGACGGTCTGGTAACAGCCGGCTGGAATCTTTCAAATCTGCAGACAGCCAACGACGAGAGCACTGTTGACCATCCTGTTCGTGGTATGATTACGTATCATGATTTCGGAACATCTGAGCTTAGCTGACAAGATGATTAGTAACATCTGCGTACTCAACAACCGATATGGTGAAGCTCCTCATAGGACGGGATCGGAGTTCTAGCAATTCTAAACAGTTCGGACAGAACCTCATGGATCTTGTAGACGAATCCACCACCTGTTGTTACAGCCCGAAGCTTCCTGAGAACACTTATCAAAGGGTTCAACCCAGCCTTGAAACACTAGTTGAGTTTCTTCATGGTACACTGCTATCAGTTCCAAGAGCAGTCTGGATAGATATGGGAATTGGGGCTAACTTGACTCTCAGCTTTCACCGCATCTGAACCATATCTGTGAGTCATTCGAAATTATGGCGTACGATTCTTACAGATCGAGTGTTTTCTAACAATCTCTTGTAGTGGGTTGAGATACATAGAAGAGACTGAAATTTCACGACTCTTCGAAGATGTGGTTATGAAGGGGATGTCGGACCATGTCAATAGTTCGATCGTGTACTCGGCCCTTTCTATCGGATGTTTGATCTCGATGAGGCGATCCGGAGTGTCACAAGAGGCAGAATCGCACATGAGATGCTTGTATAGCAACGCAATGGTGCACATCGAGAAATTGCACATGTGCCCTTCAAGAGCTCTGAGCTTCAAGGTATTTCTACACATCGCGCAACTTGAGTACAGCCTGCCATTCTGACTGAACTATATAGGCAATTACTACACTTGTAAGTATAGAGTGAATTCGAAAGGCTTCTAAACACTAGTATGTGAAGTTTCCCTCCATAGCTGACATTATTCGCAAAGCTCGTTGCCTCAGCCTTGTGGAAACCAGCGGACACGGATTGGTTGCTTGGAGTTGCAGTCTCCTGCGCCCAATCCCTTAAACTCAACAACCTAGCATGCTTGAAGACAGTTTGTCAAACGAACGAAGAGGTCGAATCATTAAAGCACGCGTTCTGGCTGCTGTACACCATCGAAAAGCCGTATCGCTTGCGCAACGGACAAGCTTCGGTAAGCCTGCCGACTCTATGCACTAGCCATATCAGTCATATACTAACCTCCATACTCTTGCCTAGGCTTTGAATGATGCCTACATCGACCACGAGCCGTTGTCTTCCGGGATCGAAGCTAGAAAGCCGTTGATTCAAACCTTTGGGATTCATTACCGTCTAGCTCAATGTTGTGCCAGGATAGCTAGCGACTTCGACAGTCAGAAAGCTCTTTCGCAGTCGACGGTCTTCACATCAGAGAACCTAGACAACTGGCTGGAACAGCTTCAGCGTTTGAAAGTTGACGTCTTCACGGCACGCAATCAGCCCGCATTAGCCATGACGTGGGATCCGAGAATCGCCTCACCGAATAGTCCGTGTATGACACCTTCAGAGGGGGATATCTCAGCAAGCCTGCTCTACTTCGAGCTAGTGTTGTGCGTCTGTGGACGTTTTTCAGCTAGTTCTTTGGGTGACTCAAGCTCTGATAAGATAGAGCAAATGGTTCTTGAGTCTGCTATTGATATACTGAAATTACTCGTCGAGGTCGATCCCACCAAGGCGGGCACAGATCAGTATGTCTCCGTCGCGTTGTCTTCTTCGCTCTTAGCACTAACCTCACACTCTTCCAGGAATTTGGTGCGCATTGCTGTCAGTTCCTTCTGCCTCGTTGCGACTTTCATCTCAAGGGCGAATGAGCGGGCCACGATCTTCAGATATCTGGTTTCGACGCTCGGCTTCTTCGCTCGGATGACAGTCAATTCACCACTCATGACTTTGGGGAAATTCAGCTCCGTGGTGGACTCAGTGCAAAAGGTACTCAAGAATGATAGTTGAAAAGCTATTAACTAAGATAGTTTCTGATTCAAAATCTCAATACCCTTCAATAGATAATGCTTTAGGTTATCTGGCGAGTTTGCCTTGGTATCGTACGTCTGGCTCTGCCCTCTCTCGTCTTTCTGATGGGCAAGTGTTAAATCGCGATTGCCTTCAGACACCTAGTTGCAGTAAAGATTCATGGGCGATTGATTTCTAAAAATGCCATCACCTGAATAGCATATCAGAATGCTGGTACACTTCGAACATCAGCAGTCCTCCCATCCGATATTTGCTATACGACTCTGTAGGATTCCTTTGTTTTTAGTGAACTAGCCACTCGTTGACCTTGCTCTCGTCCAGTCCGCATTGGTGGGTAGAAATGTTGTGGTGTCACAGTACCTACTTGAGGCAAGTCTAAGCGCCTGGATGAGGTTAGCCATGCCTCCGCTCGTCTCAACCAGCTCCTCTGCGGGGTAAACGGAGCACACCCCGTGGAGAAGCCATACATGGTGTTACAGACTGCGTGGACTTGTCTTTCGCCAGTTCATCTCATTCGACATAGCTCAGGGCCCGATCGTCGGCCTCGTGAGCGTGTACAAGCCGATCCATGCTCTCACCCCTCGTCAAAGTTCTCGCTGAGCTACTTACCCCGACTTATGTGCCCCAAGACTAGCATTATTCAGACCATAAAATCGTCTAGCGTAGCACCTTCATAACACCGTAGTACATTACTTCAAAGGAATGCCTTCGTGGACTGCGAACGCGGGCAGTCAAACTTCTATCGATTAGCAGCTGGTCTTTCCATACTTCCAACGTATTCGGCGAGATGACAGACCCCGCCAAGAAATCAATCGCACCTTATAGCGTGGTCGGAAAGACGGCCATTATCACAGGGGCTGGCTCAGGTATCAACCCAGCGGACCTGTGACCATCGCATTAAAAGGATATTTAGTAATTCCATTAAATCTAGGTATCAACTTTTCCTTTGCTGAGCTGCTCCTTGAGCGTGGCTGCAATGTCGTCATTGCTGACCTGGCTCTTCGGCCGGAGGCGGAGCAGCTCGTTTCGAGCTACCAAGACAAGTCGAACGCCAGGCCACGCGCAGTCTTCGTCAAGACCGATGTGACCTCATGGCCGGCACTGTCCAACATGTTCAAGGTCGCCATCGAGGAATTTGGGAGCTTCGACATCTTCTGTCCCGGAGCGGGTGTCTATGAGCCGCACTGGTCCAACTTCTGGCACCCTCCTGGGTCATCCGAGAGCAAGGATAGTGTAGAAGGCGGAAAATATGCTCTGCTTGATATCAATATCACCCATCCCATCCGTTCTACGCAGCTGGCCATCTCGTACTGGCTTCATCCCAAGGAGGCCACGAACGCCGCCTTGCCACCTTCTATCAAAGCTTCGCCCGAGAACCCAAAGCGCATAGTTCACATCTCATCAGTGGCTGGACAGGTTGCAAACATCAATGCTCCTCTCTATGCAGCCTCCAAATTCGCTATCACTGGGTTCGTCCGCAGTCTCGCTCGCTTGGAAGGGACAAACGGGATCCGCGTCAACGCTGTTGCACCGGGCGTCGTACAGACACCGCTCTGGACTGAGCATCCGGAGAAGCTGGTTAATCTGGACGAAGCGCAGGATGGTTGGGTCACCCCACGAGAAGTTGCTGAGGCAATGCTACGATGCGTCGAGGAAGAGGCTCTTGTCGGAGGATCAATTCTGGAAGTTGGCAAAGATAACACGCGCTTGGTCGAAGCTTTCAACGCGCCGGGTCCAGACCCCGACCCAAAGAGGGGCCTTGTTGCCAGAAACGGGTCAAAGGGAACGGACATGGTCTTTTCTTGGTTGAGGGATGCCGCCAAATGGGCTGTTGGCAGAGATTGATATAGTGCAGGTGGTCTCCACTACTTGAGATATTGAAACTGGATATATGTAGGTTGAAAACGCACCCTATGGTCGTATTGTTAAGTCCTGCATGTCCCGGAGTGCCCGTACTTAATGGCGCCGGTTTCGCGGCAAACGTGGATTGGACACTTGACCACATGTAAGTTCTCAGGTATCCAAGGTAGTCTGATATCAAAAAAGCTCGCCTAGCAAGACTGCGCAACCTTCGACTATCCCCGTCAAATCCACTTGTTGAGGTGCCTGGTGCACCGACAGACGACATGAGTTGCGAAATCACTTTTGGGTTGCTGCACGGGGACTTGGTGAACAAAATTCACAGATCATGGGAATAGCGCATAAGCCAATGCCGTTAAGAACCGCGGCAAACGATATCACAGATGTGCAGTATCAGGTCTGAACAGTATCCATACTTGTGTCTGAAGAAGTGCGTGCCCCAAAGGGACTGAGCCGGAGGTATTTGACCACGATGGCTGGCCTGTGAGCCGTTTGACTTTCACCCCCCCGGTCTAGCGGGTCTACGAGAGATGCTCCCCTTCTATGGCCGTTGGAACGAACAGATACGGACGTCTCGGTGCGGCCAAACCGGAGCGGGTACGAGCATGTGTTGTCTGGTTGCCTGTCTTCAAAGTGAACCTGGAATCTTGTGGGTGTCAGCTCATCGCACGGAAAGTTTGCTCAAGCAGAAATGCAAGCTCAGTTTCCCAAATCAATGCCTTGTTAAGAGACATGGAAGCATGGTCTTGCCACGTGCAGTCCAGATGCAAGAATTTAAGAACTACAACCACACTGTGCGTACTGCACGCTAAGCGTTCAAGGTGTCACTGGGCCAAAGGACGAGTGGACAGAACGGATATCCAGGACCGACCCCTTTATGCTAATTCTGTGGCAAGGCGCAAGAAGCGCGTCGAGGATCGTACAGTAAGGTGTACGGAGAAGTCGGTAATTGCGCTCAATTTGTTAGAGTTCGACCACTGGCAATTCGGCTTGCACCGAAAGCGAAAGCCCGTATTGCACTTTACAGTAGGGGCCAAGCGATGGTCTGCGCGAGTCAGGGGTCTTTCCCCAGGAACCTCAGATCTTTTATAAGGATTGAGGCGATTATTGATCGTGGCCGAAGGATCACGGGTGAAATTTTTGGTTTACTCAGCTGTCCGCCAGACCATCATGAAGTCATTCGCTAAGCAGGCTGCCTTCGCAGCTTGCCTCCCATGGTTGGTTGTGGCTGATTACAATGACGCCTTTGTTGTTGAGTTCGATGCATCAGTGCAATTGGTAAAGCCACCCAAGTGTATTCCGGTAGCGTAGATGCCACTAACCTAGCAACAGAGCCCAGCGGATCTCATCAGCCGGACTCGGGCATCTCTGGCAGCTTCTGGCTTAGACTGCACTGCATCTTCGCGATACCATTTCACTCACGCTGTATTTCAAGGCGGATCTTTCAACGTTGACTGCACCAACAATGGAGTTTCTCAGAAGGCGGTGCTGTCGACCATACAGTCGATTGATGCCATTCAGAAGGCCTGGCCTGTAACTTCAGCAGCACCAGCCGTCCACATGCCGAGAATTCCAGGTATTTCTGACGGCGATTGGGAATGGCCTGTAACTTCAGCAGCACCAGCCGTCCACATGCCGAGAATTCCAGGTATTTCTGACGGCGATTGGGGAAGCAGCACTCATGGATCGTCCAAGCGCGACTTGTCTCAGGTCTTGGCTCTCCAAGTAAGAGACAATATCGCAGCTGATACCTTGCCGACGCATGTTGATACTGGGGTGTCGAAGCTACACGCCAGCAATATCACGGGTAAAGGCATCCGTGTGGCAGTCATTGACAGCGGTTTCGACGTCGATACTCCGGGCCTCAGCAAGACCAACATTGTCTATGCTCACGACATGACAGACGGCGACAATGATGTTCGTGACAACTGTTCCTTCCATGGCACTCATGTTCTGGGTATTGTAGGAGCCAAGGGTGATGAGGGGAGGTTTGGTGTCGTTGGCGTGGCCCCTGATGCCACATACGAGCTTTACCGCATCACAGGTTGTACTTCAGGAACTACGGATGACGCCATCATCAACTCGTTCCTCGAAGCTGCAGAAAGAGGCGTCGACGTTATATCTTGTTCGTATGGGGGTGCCCTCACTTTCCCTGAAGGTAATTTAGCCCCATTCTAAAGATCTAAACTCAAAGAAGGGGAAGTACTGACAGGTTCAAGACCCCTGGTCTATCGTAGCCACACGACTGTTCAATAACGGCACCTATATCTCCCTTGTAGCTGGAAACGGTGGCCCTGGCATCTTCACAGGCGCTAGCCCTGGAGGTGCAGATGCTGTCGCCGCCGTTGGGTCTACCGACAACTCGCAAACTCCTTACTACAACTGGGGAGGCAATTGGACCGCAGGAAGTGAAGGCGGATCGCTTCGTTTTGTCCCTGGCATGCCGTTCGACTTCCCATCAAACGAAGGGCTGACAGTCTGGACTTCAGACACACCCAACACCAATGGTTGCCAGCTCCTCCCTGATAAGTCTAGTTTGCCGGCCGACTTATCCAAAGTCATTTTCCTCTCCCAGTTTGATCAATGCTGGATGGCAGCCGATAACTCTACAGTCTCTCTCACGAAAGAGTTTGGCATCCCGTATGTCATGTACTACAGCTGGAGCAATTACACGGTCTCTGAAGGCCCGCTATTCCTGAAGGTCTCTGCAGCAAACCAGAAAGGGTCTGTCACGGTGGACTATGAAACAGCAAAGCAACTACTGGATGCCAAGGCAAAGCACGGCTCCGTTCAAGTGTTCCTTGCAAATGAGGTCTCCGTTGCAGATGTTAGTCTCACTTATAAGGCCAATAACCGCTCTGGCCTCATGAGCTCTGTATTTACCAGTTGGGGTCCAACTCTTCGAGCAGGATCCATGCCCGCATTCCATGCCCCCGGAGGAAACATCTTGAGTACTTTCCCTGGATGGCTTGGAGGCTATGGAGTAGTCAGTGGTAAGTTGAAATTCTATTCGCGAGCTATGCGGGCACTGTCATTGATAAGTGTGTTACGTTAGGCACTAGCCAGGCCACCCCGTTTGTCGCCGGCATCGCTGCGCTTGTCAAACAGCAGCACCCAGATTACAGCTCTGAAGACATCCGGAATGTCATCGCAGCCACATCACGACCTGTCAAGTGGTACGATGGAAAAGGAAACACTGGAGACTTCCTGGCACCCGTCTTCCAACAAGGGTCTGGTCTTGTCGACGCGTGGGGAGCAGTTCACTCGACCACATTACTCAGTGCCTCTGCCCTTTCATTCAATGACACGGCCAACCGCCCCAAAGAGTTGACCTTCACAATCAAGAACACCGGTTTGAAGGCTACCACCTACGATCTGAGTCATGTTGGAGCCAGCTCTGGCTATGTGCTTGAGAAGGTGGATAGCTACCAACTCACTGAGGCCGTGGTGTATCCAGTGTACGCCGAAGTCAGCATCAACCCCACAACTCTCTCAGTTGAGCCAGGGAAGACAGCCACTGTTTCAGTCTCGATCTCAAAAGAGCCCGCTTTGTCGGAAGCTTCAACTCGTGTGTCCTATTTTGGAGGCTACATCAACATTGAAGCCAAGGGTGCAATCGACATCAACAAACTCTCACTACCCTACACCGGCTTCGGCGCGCCATTGACTACCTTACACAGCATCAACCGGAACAAATCTTATCTGTCGTCATACAATGTAACTGCCGGCAAGGCATCGCATGCCGAACCAGGCCGCGTTTATACCTGCACGTTGAACATCACCGCAGATGTTCCAGCTTCGTTCCCAGGCAATGAGTTTCCCGGCATCGAGGTCTTCCTCTTCTTGCAGTCGCGCAACATGAGCATTCACATGGTAGACGCAAAGACTGGAAAAGTAGTGGTCAACTCCTACCAGAGTACGTCAGAGGTCCCATGGAACGGTTCGACTTGGTATTGGGATGGTTCCGACGATAACAAAGCTCCCGTGCCGGCTGGTACTTACACCTGGCGCGTCAAGGCTCTTAAGATGCTTGGAGATGCGGCGAAGGAGGAGGACTGGGAAACCTGGGAAGCCGGCACATGGGTTCTGGAATACACTGCTGACAGCATTTTCCCTTCGAGTTCAACGGCTCCGAAAAGCTGATACAACAATATGGAACATCGGGATAGATAAAGTCAATGCAAAATCAAAATGATGAAGTCTGGAGAAGATGGGACTTATATCCAGTCGTGTTGAACACGACCAGATAAAGTAGATTTGTAAGGTCATCACAAAAGAAAACCGGCAGGGTTGGAGTTTCCGTCCTCATATTGAGCCTGGCGAGTCGCGACAGGTTAGTTGACCCCTGTTAAGCTCGCTTGCGATGATGAGCCACGCTTGGCACTGGTCAGAGAAGTAAGACCTAGCGGAACAACCTTGCTGCCTTTCACATACAGAGGACTTTTTACTTCCTAATTCGGGCAAGTTTGTCTCAATGAGCCGGAAAAGATCCAATGATGTAATTCTTCGGCATAGGTTTGCGGCGAAGTGCATCTACACATCATGTGGTCTGTCTTGTCTTCTGGCAATCCTAAGAGGATCCTCCAGCTCAGTTTTCGAACTTTAAGTAGCAGCGTTGCCATCCACAGAGCCATCACTCTCTGCTTTCATTTTGTGCCATAACACATCGCTTGACCCCTATCTTACACGCAAGGCTTAAGCAATATATATCCAGATTTCTCTTGCACTGCGTTCCATCCTCATCATGGGCTGGTATGAAATCACCGACGACTACATTAAAGACTCGAAGATCAACCTCCCAGTCTGCGAAACTCTTCAAATGAGAGATGTTTACGGCGGAACTCAAAGAACCATATATCGCGTTGATCAGAGCGGACGACAATTTCCAGTGTGGACTATCAACGAGAACATTGAAAACGGCGTACTTGCGATTGTCTCCGCCGACCCCAGAGCACAGGTCCCCGCAGGCAATGCTATTGGTATCATCAAATACCACACCATGTCTTCGAGAACACAAATCACCCTACGTAGATCAGAACTAAGCCTGGGGCTTACGGACTACAGTCATGGACACGAAATCAACTTCAACGGCTGCAACTACCGATGGGTTATGTCCAAAAATACCATGTCGACGACCACGCTTTACCTCAAGACTGATGGGAATCGAATTTTAGCAAGATGGTCAGGAAAGCCCGAAGGTCGAGCGGGCGACCCAAGTCCGGTATTCGAACTATTTGTTCCCCCTCAAACACTGGACATGGACTTTTTGGTAGTCACCGGTTTGGCGGCTGCAGGGTACTGGAAGAAGGCAGACAAGCTCAAGAGCCCCATAAGCAAGATTTTGAAGATAATGGGAGGCCTGGGTCCGTAGGAGAGTAATGTGTAGAATTGTTCTGGCAGATAGTAGAGCAACATGGCGGCATTGAAGCTGATCATCCTCTTCATTTGAATACCAATTGGCTGAGACTGTTGCAAATGCAAGGAACCTCGTCGTCCAGGTACGTTGCAAACTTGTTTAATCCCACTTTCGGCCAGGTTCTAGATTGCCAAAGGACGTCTCTTGATGTGCACCAACAGAGGTGGTTTCTTCCAGATGGACCAGGCTTTGTGCTTAGAATATGGCTGTGTCCAATTGGTCGAAGACGAATCGAGCTTCATATCGAATTCCCATAGCAGTCGCGCAATGATGACGCGCATCTCATTGTATGCCAAGTGCTTCCCGATGCAATTGCGAGGGCCATACGAGAATGGCTGCATGGCGTCCCGCTTGTCCGCATAAAATGGAGACTTAGGGTCTTGGGCAACACTGGGAAGCCATCGTTCAGGAGCAAAACTCTCCGGCTCAGCGAAGTTGGAAGTTGACAGACCGGCAGCGGAGTGATGAACCCCAACACGAGTCTTTAACACGTCTCTGTTAGCAAGCTTTGAAGCTTGGACGAGTAGAGGGTCAAAGACTATCAAGCACTTACTCCGGGGGGGAAAAACATTCCTTCAATGTACACTGGTTCTTTTGTGTCTGGAACAATTCTCTCAAGCGAAGTCGGCACAGGTGGATAGAGTCTGAAGGTCTCGTTGAGCACGGCGAGAAGGTAAGGCAGACGTGCCGTAGCATCCGTAAAGTTGATTTCGCCGGGTGACTTGAACGCAGCTCTGACTTCTTCAACTGCTCTTCTGTGTGCATGAGGGGTCGATAAGAGGTAGAAAGTGCAAGCCGTCATCAAAGTGGCTGTGGTATCACTACCGGCGACGAAGAGGGTATTCGAGTTTGTGACAATCTCTTCGATGGAATTGATACTCTTCTCGTCTCTCCCACGAAGCAGACCTTGCATAAAGTCTTTGCGGGTGATTTCAGAGTCATTCTCCAATCGCTTGTTTACGGCTTTTCTGGTGTAGTCAAATTGGTCCATAAAGCCCCTTTGAACATCCCGCGCTAAAATCGGCAAGACGATCCACGATAGCGGGCCAAGCAGTGTGTTGAGTTCGAAGAGCTTTCTGGCTCGCTCGATAAACATGAGGACAGAGCTTACCACATGATGGAACTCGTTATTGTCGAGACCACCCAAAGACTCTCCGAACGTCAAGTCGCCGATAATGTCGAAGGAAGCAATGTGGAACCACCTTCCCATCTCTGTCGGCATTCGAGACTCAGCCACATCTGACAACCTTCGTACGAGCTTATCGACATAGTCGTGAATGATCGGCTCTTGCTCAGCCAGAGACCGTGGCGAGAAAGCGTGGGCTACACCTCGGCGAATCCGAGCGTGGTTGACATCATCAGCATCAAGGATGTTGGAGTCAGGGTCGAGTTGCTTCGAGGCACTGTACTTTGAAAACTGCCCGTGCCCATGTCCGTAAATAGTCTTCCAGGCCTGGCTTGTCGTAAACGTCACCGCATTTGGTGAATAGCGTACAACATTGCCGTATTTCCGGTGAAACTCGCGGATATCTTGGTCGATGGTGCCGAATAGTATCTTAAACTTGGGAATGAAAGGGAATATTGTCCACGACTTGGGGCCTGGAACGTGGCTCAACCGTGAGAAATACGCTTGATAAATGCCTCGAGCTAGATAAAAGAGCAACCAAGAACTAAGTGCCAATAAAGCAATGTGAGCCAGCGACTGAGTTTCCAACAACAAAAAGGAGCTCATGGCCATCGTGATAATATAGACTGAGCTGTCGGTCTTGGTTGCGTCTACGACTCAATTCACGCCAGGTCCAATGCTGGGATTATTAGTCTTTATGCCCGCAAGGTGCTACCGGAGAAGCCCCCTCTTGATGCCCATAAAGTCCCCATCACATCTGTAACATCATGACTCCACTCCATTACTCAGTTTCTTGGCATATTGCTGTCGCTTGGTAAGATAGCGGCGTTATTGTATGATTTGTTCCGTTGCACAACGTCACGTTTGATTCCGCCTCTCCCCCGCAACGGATGTGCCCATCCTTGCTCGACGACTGCCGGACCAGGGCTGGAAGACACTACGGACCGGTCCGTAGCCTGCAAGTGGCTGATCAATGCTCGCACGGAGGAGACCGCACACCGCATCGGGGTTTCCTGTTGGCCGCGAACCCGATGTGACACCGCCGAGAAATACAGTATGCACGCTGCCGCGCCGTGCAACCGGGAACAACGCCGGGTCGGCGCCGAGCTTCCTCAACAGGAAAGAAGAGATGGTATATTTCTATGTACGACTCACGAGCAAGCAAATTCCCGCACGGTTTCACTTGTTAAATGCTTTCTATCCCTTCTTACTGGACGATGAAGTCCTGGAGGCCCATGTTGAGCGAGTCATTGATGCGTCGAGTATACTCGACGACGCCGCCAAGGAAGTTGAGCATCTCTGCTATAAGTCAGCGGTTGTCTTTGAGTATTGAGCAAAAAGGGGGGTAGGATAACTTCTTACCTTTAGGCTTCCCTGGAATATTGGTTCCCATGTACTCAGACTTTGTCTGCGGCAGCAGAGTCTCGTCTCCAATACGGTTGACAAGATCTCGCCACTCCTGCTCAACATCCGGACGAGGGTCAATGTAGCGTTTGCCGTTCTTTCGTAGGTGAACAAGTGTGTCGCGGATCCAACCGCCCTGGAGCTCAGCACACGTAGGTCCGTTGCAGAACGATGTCGGACCTTGAGGCCCGTAGACGAATAGTGCATTGGGGAACCCAGCGGTCATCATTCCAAGATGCGTCGTTGTGCCCTTCGCCCACTTCTCTTTCAATGACTGCCCATTCTCGCCTTTAATGTCGATCGCCAAGATACCTCCCGTCACTGAGTCAAAGCCAGTAGCAAGAATGAGAACGTCAAACTTGTGCAGCTCGCCATCGGCGGTGAAGACACCGTCGGGGACAACCTCCGCGATGGCATTGGCCTTGGTGTCAATCAGAGCCACGTTGTCACGGTTGTAGATCTCGTAGTATCTCTGCTCGAGAGTAGCTCGCTTGGTTCCGAAGTAGTATGGCGGCTTCTCCGGGGCAAGAAGCTCCTGCATCGCGGGCTTATGGACACGCTCCAGGACCTTGCTGCGCCAGAATTCGTATGCGTGTTGGTTGGCTTCTCTGTTCCGGATGACATCTTGATATGTCCCCAACCAGAAAGATAGTCCGCCCTTTGCCCAAATCGTCTCAAAAAATGCCTGGCGCCCCTCCGCGGTTGTCTCAGCACAGGCCTGAGGACTGAATTCGAAGTCGAGGCCGGCAAAAGTATTCTTACGAAGCTCGTAAAGCTCCTTATATGTTTCTTTCTTCTGGTCCTCAATAGAAAGGGGCGTTTGTCGCATGGGAAGGGCGTAGGTTGGGCTGCGTTGAAAAACTGTCAGGTGGTCAACGTCGGGAGCAATCTCCTGAATGACTTGGAGACCGCTTGAGCCGTTACCGACGACACCAACTCGCTTTCCCTTGAAGTCAATGCCCTCCTGAGGCCACTTCGAGGTGTGGCACGAGACGCCAGCAAAAGACTCAAGGCCCTTGAAGTCTGGGATGTTTGGCTTCGCAGCAAAACCAGTACAGAGAATAAAGTATCGAGCGGTCAAGACGGACTTGTCGCCAGTGGTGATGGTCCAGTGGGAACCGATTTTGTCGAAGTCGGCACTGACTACGCGGGTGTTGAACATAACGTCCTTCTTGAGGTGTAGCTTGGACTCGACAT